ACAGGCTAGAGGGTTGGACAATGTAATACCTACAGGCTAGAGGGTTGGACAATGTTGTACCTACAGGCTAGAGGGTTGGACAATGTAGTACCTACAATCTAGAGGGTTGGACAATGTAGTACCTACAGGCTAGAGGGTTGGACAATGTAGTACCTACAATCTAGAGGGTTGGACAATGTAGTACCTACAGGCTAGAGGGTTGGACAATGTAGTACCTACAGACCAGACTAGAGGGTTGGACAATGTAGTACCTACAAGCTAGAGGGCTGGACAATGTAGTACCTACAGGCTAGAGGGTTGGACAATGTAGTAACTACAGGCTAGAGGGTTGGACAATGTAGTACCTACAAGCTAGAGGGTTGGACAATGTAGTACCTAAAGGCTAGAGGGTTGGACAATGTAGTACCTACAGGCTAGAATAGAGGGTTGAACAATGTAGTACCTACAGGCTAAAGGGTTGGACAATGTAGTACCTACAGACCAGACTAGAGGGTTGGACAATGTAGTACCTACAGGCTAGAATAGAGGGTTGAACAATGTAGTACCTACAGGCTAGAGGGTTGGACAATGTAGTACCTACAGACCAGACTAGAGGGTTGGACAATGTAGTACCTACAAACTAGAGGGTTGGACAATGTAGTAGCTACAGGCTAGAGGGTTGGACAATGTAGTACCTACAGGCTAGAGGGTTGGACAATGTAGTACCTACAGGCTAGAGGGTTGGACAATGTAGTACCTACAAGCTAGACTAGAGGGTTAGACAATGTAGTACCTACAGGCTAGAGGGTTGGACAATGTAGTACCTACAGACCAGATTAGAGGGTTGGACAATGTAGTACCTACAGGCTAGAGGGTTGGACAATGTAGTACCTACAGGCTAGAGGGTTGGACAATGTAATACCTACAGGCTAGAGGGTTGGACAATGTTGTACCTACAGGCTAGAGGGTTGGACAATGTAGTACCTACAATCTAGAGGGTTGGACAATGTAGTACCTACAGGCTAGAGGGTTGGACAATGTAGTACCTACAATCTAGAGGGTTGGACAATGTAGTACCTACAGGCTAGAGGGTTGGACAATGTAGTACCTACAGACCAGACTAGAGGGTTGGACAATGTAGTACCTACAAGCTAGAGGGCTGGACAATGTAGTACCTACAGGCTAGAGGGTTGGACAATGTAGTAACTACAGGCTAGAGGGTTGGACAATGTAGTACCTACAAGCTAGAGGGTTGGACAATGTAGTACCTAAAGGCTAGAGGGTTGGACAATGTAGTACCTACAGGCTAGAATAGAGGGTTGAACAATGTAGTACCTACAGGCTAAAGGGTTGGACAATGTAGTACCTACAGACCAGACTAGAGGGTTGGACAATGTAGTACCTACAGGCTAGAATAGAGGGTTGAACAATGTAGTACCTACAGGCTAGAGGGTTGGACAATGTAGTACCTACAGACCAGACTAGAGGGTTGGACAATGTAGTACCTACAAACTAGAGGGTTGGACAATGTAGTAGCTACAGGCTAGAGGGTTGGACAATGTAGTACCTACAGGCTAGAGGGTTGGACAATGTAGTACCTACAGGCTAGAGGGTTGGACAATGTAGTACCTACAAGCTAGACTAGAGGGTTAGACAATGTAGTACCTACAGGCTAGAGGGTTGGACAATGTAGTACCTACAGACCAGATTAGAGGGTTGGACAATGTAGTACCTACAGGCTAGAGGGTTGGACAATGTAGTACCTACAAGCTAGACTAGAGGGTTTGACAATGTAGTACCTACAGGCAATAGGGTTGGACAATATAGTACCTACAGGCTAGAGGGTTGGACAATGTAGTACCTACAAGCTAGAGGGCTGGACAATTTAGTACCTACATGCTAGAGGGTTGGACAATGTACTACCTACAAGCTAGACTAGAGGGTTGGATAATGTAGTACCTACAGACCAGACTAGAGGGTTGGACAATGTTGTACCTACAGGCTAGAGGGTTGAACAATGTAGTACCTACAGGCTAGAGGGTTGGACAATGTAGTACCTACAGGCTAGAGGGTTGGGCAATGTAGTACCTACATACTACACGAGAGGGTTGGACAATGTAGTACCTACAGGCTAGAGGGTTGGCCAATGTAGTACCTACAGGCTAGAGGGTTGGACAATGTAGTACCTACAAACTAGAGGGTTGGACAATGTGAAGGGCTCAGTGGAAAAAGTACTTAAGTGTATTTTGAGAGTTTTGAGAAAAATGAGTGCAAATTTTTTAAATTGAAGCTGAAATACCAAAACAGCTGATGCAAAGTATTCGAATTAAGCTACTTCGGTACATTTCTCATGGCCCAAATTTACAGGGATGGTTAAGGGTAGGTAATCAAATGATATACCGGTCTTAACTCATTTTTGAAAAAAATGTAACTTAAGTACTTTTTCCACTGAGCCCTTCATGTAGTACCTACAGGCTAGAGGGTTGGACAATGTAGTACCTACAGGCTAGAGGGTTGGACAATGTTGTACCTACAGGCTAGAGGGTTGGACAATGTAGTACCTACAGGCTAGAGGGTTGGACAATGTTGTACCTACAGGCTAGAGGTTTGGACAATGTAGTACCTACAAGCTAGAGGGCTGGACAATGTAGTACCTACAGGCTAGAGGGTTGGACAATATAGTAACTACAGGCTAGAGGGTTGGACAATGTAGTACCTACAGGCTAGAGGGTTGGACAATGTAGTACCTAAAGGCTAGAGGGTTGGACAATGTAGTACCTACAGGCTAGAATAGAGGGTTGAACAATTTAGTACCTACAGGCTAAAGGGTTGGACAATGTAGTACCTACAGGCTAGAATAGAGGGTTGAACAATGTAGTACCTACAGGCTAGAGGGTTGGACAATGTAGTACCTACAGACCAGACTAGAGGGTTGGACAATGTAGTACCTACAAACTAGAGGGTTGGACAATGTAGTAGCTACAGGCTAGAGGGTTGGACAATGTAGTACCTACAGGCTAGAGGGTTGGACAATGTAGTACCTACAGGCTAGAGGGTTGGACAATGTAGTACCTACACGCTAGACTAGAGGGTTGGACAATGTAGTACCTACAGGCTAAAGGGTTGGACAATGTAGTACCTACAAGCTAGACTAGAGGGTTAGACAATGTAGTACCTACAGGCTAGAGGGTTGGACAATGTAGTACCTACAGACCAGACTAGAGGGTTGGACAATGTAGTACCTACAGGCTAGAGGGTTGGACAATGTAGTACCTACAAGCTAGACTAGAGGGTTTGACAATGTAGTACCTACAGGCAATAGGGTTGGACAATATAGTACCTACAGGCTAGAGGGTTGGACAATGTAGTACCTACAAGCTAGAGGGCTGGACAATTTAGTACCTACATGCTAGAGGGTTGGACAATGTACTACCTACAAGCTAGACTAGAGGGTTGGATAATGTAGTACCTACAGACTACAGGGTTGGACAATGTAGTACCTACAGACCAGACTAGAGGGTTGGACAATGTTGTACCTACAGGCTAGAGGGTTGAACAATGTAGTACCTAAAGGCTAGAGGGTTGGACAATGTAGTACCTACAGGCTAGAGGGTTGGCAATTGTAGTACCTACAAGCTAGAGGGTTGGACAATGTAGAACCTACAGGCTAGACTAGAGGGTTGGACAATGTAGTACCTACAGGCTAGAGGGTTGGACAATGTAGTACCTACAGACCAGACTAGAGGGTTGGACAATGTAGTACCTACAGGCTAGAGGGTTGGCCAATGTAGTACCTACAGGCTAGAGGGTTGGACAATGTAGTACCTACAGTCTAGAGGGTTGGACAATGTAGTACCTACAAACTAGAGGGTTGGACAATGTTGTACCTACAGACTAGAGGGTTGGACAATGTAGTACCTACAGGCTAGAGGGTTGGACAATGTAGTACCTACAGACCAGACTAGATGGTGGACAATGTAGTACCTACAAGCTAGAGGGTTGGACAATGTAGTACCTAAAGGCTAGAGGGTTGGACAATGTAGTACCAACAGACCAGTCTAGAGGGTTGGACAATGTAGTACCTACAGGCTAGAGGGTTGGACAATGTAGTACCTACAGGCTAGAGGGTTGGACAATGTAGTACCTACAGGCTAGAGGGTTTGACAGTGTGGTACCTAAAGTCTAGAGGGTTGGACAATGTAGTACCTACAGGCTAGAGGGTTGGACAATGTAGTACCTACAGACCAGACTAGAGGGTTGGACAATGTAGTACCTACAGGCTAGAGGGTTGGACAATGTTGTACCTACAGGCTAGAGGGTTTGACAATGTAGTACCTACAGGCTAGAGGGTTGGACAATGTAGTACCTACAGGCTAGAGGGTTGGACAATGTAGTACCTACAGGCTAGAGGGTTGGCCAATGTAGTACCTACAGACTAGAGGGTTGGACAATGTAGTACCTATAGGCTAGAGGGTTGGCCAATGTAGTACCTACATGGTTGGAATAACTTTTTCATTAAAACAATCTAATCTAGGAAGTAAACAGTGGGTACCTGGGTTTAGACCGGTGCTTTATGGTTTGCATTAAAGTGTAACATTTCTTGCGCACCAACATTGTGCCTTCTGTGCCCGTGAATAACTTGGACAAAAAACTTCTGGCATTTGAATACAACAAGATTTAATTTACTCTTAGTCTTACAAGACATCAGGGAAAATTTTTCGCTCAAGGCTTAGGCTCAACACGATACATATCATCAATAAATGACATATGTCATTAAAAGAAACAAACGCCGCATGTCATGATAAAGTAATTGTTACATTTCAGGATTAAAATAAACAGTACATATTATTAAAAGAAACAAATGCCACATGTCATCAATGACCCAAATACCACATGTCATCAATGAGCCAAATACCACATGTCATGAATGAAACAAATACCGCATGTCATCAATACACCAAATGCCACATGTTATGAATGAGCCAAATGCCACATGTCATCAATGAACCAAATGCCACATGTCAGGTGACGTCAAATAACTCGACCAGACCCTGGCGCTGGGCGGGCACAATCTTCTTGTCGACAGCCGAGTCACGCCTGACGCTGTCCTCACTGCTAGAGCTACTGTCGCCCGGGGTGTCGGGGGGCGGCTCGTGGGGCGCTGGATGGGGCGGGAACCTTCGTGTCGAACCTTCGTGACTGGAGTCACTCTCCCAGGGTACAGTGCCTGTAGGGGGAGGGGAAACTCAGGTGTGGGGTGGTATAGGTGGTATAGATAGTGTAGATGGTATAGGTGGTACAGATTTTATAGGTGGTATAGATGGTATAGATGTTATAGATGGTATAGATAGTGTAGATGGTATAGATGGTATAGATGGTATAGTTGAAATAGATGGTACAGATAGTGTAGATGGTATAGATGTTATAGATGGTATAGATGGTATAGATGGTATAGATGGTATAGATGGTATAGATGGTATAGATGGTATAGATGGTATAGATAGTATAGGTGGTATAGATGGTATAGATGGTATAGATGGTATAGATGGTATAGGTGGTATAGATGGTATAGATGGTGTAGATGGTATAGATGGTATAGATGGACTAGATGGTATGGATGGTATAGGTGGTATAGATGGTATAGATGGTGTAGATGGTATAGATGGTATAGATGGACTAGATGGTATGGACGGTATAGGTGGTATAGATGGTATAGATGGACTAGATGGTATGGATGGTATAGGTGGTATAGATGGTATAGATGGTATAGGTGGTATAGATGGTATAGATGTTATAGATGTTATAGATGGTATAGATGGTATAGATGTTATAGATGTTATAGATGGTATAGATGGTATGGATGGTATAGATGGTATAGATGTTATAGATGGTATAGATGGTATAGTTGAAATAGATGGTATAGATATAGATCAAGGTAAATTTCTTGTATTCTCGAATTAGCTGATCTGTGAAGCTAAAATGCAAAGATTTATATAAAATGTTTTAGGACTAAAATAGTTTAAAAAGAAACTCAATAATGTATTGTGTTGTTATACTTGTTATACTTGTTTTTGAATTGTATACTCTAACTAGAAGAACTACCAAGCGTCTCCTATTGAAATTGACCATAGTGTTGGAGCCCAATAAAAAAAGCAACCAGACGTTGACATGTGTTTGAGCAGACACTTACTGGCACATGTTTGAGCAGACACTTACTGGCACATGTTTGAGCAGACACTTACTGGCACGTATTTGAGCAGACACTCACTGGCACGTTATTGAGCAGACACTTACTCTCACATATTTGAGCAGACACTTACTGGCACATGTTTGAGCAGACACTTACTGGCACGTATTTGAGCAGACACTTACTGGCACGTATTTGAGCAGACACTCACTGGCACGTATTTGAGCAGACACTCACTGGCACGTATTTGAGCAGACACTTACTGACACGTATTTGAGCAGACACTCACTGGCACGTATTTGAGCAGTCACTCACTGGCACGTATTTGAGCAGACACTTACTGACACGTATTTGAGCAGACACTTACTGGCACGTATTTGAGCAGACACTTACTGGCACATGTTTGAGCAGACACTTACTTCTATGTTTTTTCTTGTGCTTTGAGCGCGGCCTTATCATCATCCATAGAACGATCGAGATGGTGGCGATGACGACGATGATAATGGCGATGACGTAGTTGCTCTTGCTGCTCTCGTCACGTGCTAGCTCCGTGTACACATCTGGCACGTGCATCAACAGGTCAGTGCCGGACACAACGCTCGCAACATACAACACTTAACGCTCACTACATACACTTAACGCTCACTACATACAACACTTAACGCTCACTACATACAACACTTAACGCTCACTACATACAACACTTAACGCTCACTACATACAACACTTAACGCTCACTACATACAACACTTAACGCTCACTACATACAACACTTAACGCTCACTACATACAACACTTAACGCTCACTACATACAACACTTAACGCTCACTACATACAACACTTAACGCTCACTACATACAACACTTAACGCTCACTACATACAACACTTAACGCTCACTACATACAACACTTAACGCTCACTACATACAACAATTAACGCTCACTACATACAACACTTAACGCTCACTACATACAACAATTAACGCTCACTACATACAACATTTAACGCTCACTACATACAACACTTAACGCTCACTACATACAACACTTAACGCTCACTACATACAACACTTAACGCTCACTACATACAACACTTAACGCTCACTACATACAACACTTAACGCTCACTACATACAACACTTAACGCTCACTACATATAACACTTAACGCTCACTACATACAACACTTAACGCTCACTACATACAACATTTAACGCTCACTACATACAACACTTAACGCTCGCTACATACAACACTTAACGCTCACTACATACAACACTTAACGCTCACTACATACAACATTTAACGCTCACTACATACAACACTTAACGCTCGCTACATACAACATTTAACGCTCACTACATACAACACTTAACGCTCACTACATACAACACTTAACGCTCACTACATACAACACTTAACGCTCACTACATACAACACTTAACGCTCACTACATACAACACATAACGCTCGCTACATACAACACTTAACGCTCACTACATACAACACTTAACGCTCACTACATACAACACTTAACGCTCACTACATACAACATTTAACGCTCACTACATACCACACTTAACGCTCACTACATACAACACTTAACGCTCACTACATACAACACTTAACGCTCACTACATACAACACTTAACGCTCACTACATACAACACTTAACGCTCACTACATACAACACTTAACGCTCACTACATACAACACATAACGCTCGCTACATACAACACTTAACGCTCACTACATACAACACTTAACGCTCACTACATACAACATTTAACGCTCACTACATACAACACTTAACGCTCACTACATACAACACTTAACGCTCACTACATACAACACTTAACGCTCACTACATACAACACTTAACGCTCACTACATACAACACTTAACTCTCACTACATACAACACTTAACGCTCACTACATATAACACTTAACGCTCACTACATACAACACTTAACGCTCACTACATACAACATTTAAAGCTCACTACATACAACACTTAACGCTCGCTACATACAACACTTAACGCTCACTACATACAACACTTAACGCTCACTACATACAACATTTAACGCTCACTACATACAACACTTAACGCTCGCTACATACAACATTTAACGCTCACTACATACAACACTTAACGCTCACTACATACAACACTTAACGCTCACTACATACAACAATTAACGCTCACTACATACAACACTTAACGCTCACTACATACAACACTTAACGCTCACTACATACAACACATAACGCTCGCTACATACAACACTTAACGCTCACTACATACAACACTTAACGCTCACTACATACAACATTTAACGCTCACTACATACAACACTTAACGCTCACTACATACAACACTTAACGCTCACTACATACAACACTTAACGCTCACTACATACAACACTTAACGCTCACTACATACAACACTTAACGCTCACTACATACAACACTTAACGCTCGCTACATACAACACATAACGCTCGCTACATACAACACTTAACGCTCACTACATACAACACTTAACGCTCACTACATACAACATTTAACGCTCACTACATACAACACTTAACGCTCACTACATACAACACTTAACGCTCACTACATACAACACTTAACTCTCACTACATACAACACTTAACGCTCACTACATATAACACTTAACGCTCACTACATACAACACTTAACGCTCACTACATACAACATTTAACGCTCACTACATACAACACTTAACGCTCGCTACATACAACACTTAACGCTCACTACATACAACACTTAACGCTCACTACATACAACATTTAACGCTCACTACATACAACACTTAACGCTCGCTACATACAACATTTAACGCTCACTACATACAACACTTAACGCTCACTACATACAACACTTAACGCTCACTACATACAACACTTAACGCTCACTACATACAACACTTAACGCTCACTACATACAACACTTAACGCTCACTACATACAACACTTAACGCTCACTACATACAACATTTAACGCTCACTACATACAACACTTAAAGCTCGCTACATACAACATTTAACGCTCACTACATACAACACTTAACGCTCACTACATACAACACTTAACGCTCACTACATACAACACTTAACGCTCACTACATACAACACTTAACGCTCACTACATACAACACTTAACGCTCACTACATACAACACTTAACGCTCACTACATACAACAATTAACGCTCACTACATACAACACTTAACGCTCACTATATACAACACTTAACGCTCACTACATACAACACTTAACGCTCACTACATACAACACTTAACTCTCACTACATACAACACTTAACGCTCGCTACATACAACACTTAACGCTCACTACATACAACACTTAACGCTCACTACATACAACACTTAACTCTCACTACATACAACACTTAACGCTCACTACATACAACACTTAACGCTCACTACATACAACACTTAACGCTCACTACATACAACACTTAACGCTCACTACATACAACACTTAACGCTCACTACATACAACACTTAACGCTCACTACATACAACACTTAACGCTCACTACATACAACAATTTAACGCTCACTACATACAACACTTAACGCTCACTACATACAACACTTAAACGCTCACTACATATAACACTTAACGCTCACTCAACTGAATACTCACTCAACTGACTACTCACTCAACTGACCACTCACTCAACTGACCACTCACTCAACTGACTACTCACTCAACTGACTACTCACTCAACTGACTACTCACTCAACTGACCACTCAACTGACTTCTCACTCAACTGACCACTCAACTGACTACTCACTCAACTGACTACTCGCTCAACTGACTACTCACTCAACTGACAACTCAACTGACTACTCACTCAACTGACCACTCAACTGACTTCTCACTCAACTGACCACTCAACTGACTACTCAGTCAACTGACCACTCACTCAACTGACTACTCACTCAACTGACCACTCACTCAACTGACTACTCACTCAACTGACTACTCACTCAACTGACTACTCACTCAACTGACCACTCACTCAACTGACCACTCACTCAACTGACAACTCAACTGACTACTCACTCAACTGACTACTCACTCACCTTTTTACTCACTCAACTGACCACTCACTCAACTGACCACTCACTCAACTGACTACTCACTCAACTGACTACTCACTCAACTGACTACTCCCTCAACTGACTACTCACTCAACTGACTACTCACTCAACTGACCTCTCACTCAACTGACCACTCACTCAACTGACAACTCAACTGACTACTCACTCAACTGACTACTCACTCAACTTACTACTCACTCAACTGACCACTCACTCAACTAACCACTCACTCAACTGACTACTCACTCAACTGACTACTCACTCAACTGACCACTCACTCAACTGACTACTCACTCAACTGACCACTCAACTGAATACTCACTCAACTGACTACTCACTCAACTGACCACTCAACTGACTTCTCACTCAACTGACCACTCAACTGACTACTCACTCAACTGACCACTCCCTCAACTGACCACTCCCTCAACTGACCACTCACTCAACTGACCACTCACTCAACTGACTACTCACTCAACTGACTACTCACTCAACTGACCACTCACTCAACTGACTACTCACTCAACTGACTACTCACTCAACTGACTACTCACTCAACTGACCACTCCCTCAACTGACCACTCCCTCAACTGACCACTCAACTGACGACTCCCTCAACTGACCACTCACTCAACTGACTACTCACTCAACTGACCACTCACTCAACTGACTACTCACTCAACTGACTACTCACTCAACTGACTACTCACTCAACTGACCACTCCCTCAACTGACCACTCCCTCAACTGACCACTCAACTGACCACTCCCTCAACTGACCACTCACTCAACTGACTACTCACTCAACTGACCACTCCCTCAACTGACCACTCACTCAACTGACCACTCACTCAACTGACTACTCACTCACCTTACTACTCACTCAACTGACCACTCACTCAACTGACCACTCACTCAACTGACTACTCACTCAACTGACTACTCAATCAACTGACTACTCCCTCAACTGACTACTCACTCAACTGACTACTCACTCAACTGACCTCTCACTCAACTGACCACTCACTCAACTGACAACTCAACTGACTACTCACTCAACTGACTACTCACTCAACTTACTACTCACTCAACTGACCACTCACTCAACTAACCACTCACTCAACTGACTACTCACTCAACTGACTACTCACTCAACTGACCACTCACTCAACTGACTACTCACTCAACTGACCACTCAACTGAATACTCACTCAACTGACTACTCACTCAACTGACCACTCAACTGACTTCTCACTCAACTGACCACTCAACTGACTACTCACTCAACTGACCACTCCCTCAACTGACCACTCCCTCAACTGACCACTCACTCAACTGACCACTCACTCAACTGACTACTCACTCAACTGACTACTCACTCAACTGACCACTCACTCAACTGACTACTCACTCAACTGACTACTCACTCAACTGACTACTCACTCAACTGACCACTCCCTCAACTGACCACTCCCTCAACTGACCACTCAACTGACGACTTCCTCAACTGACCACTCACTCAACTGACTACTCACTCAACTGACCACTCACTCAACTGACTACTCACTCAACTGACTACTCACTCAACTGACTACTCACTCAACTGACCACTCCCTCAACTGACCACTCCCTCAACTGACCACTCAACTGACCACTCCCTCAACTGACCACTCCCTCAACTGACCACTCCCTCAACTGACCACTCACTCAACTGACTACTCACTCAACTGACCACTCCCTCAACTGACCACTCACTCAACTGACCACTCACTCAACTGACTACTCACTCAACTGACTACTCACTCAACTGACCACTCCCTCAACTGACCACTCACTCAACTGACTACTCACTCAACTGACTACTCACTCAACTGACTACTCACTCAACTGACCACTCACTCAACTGACCACTCCCTCAACTGACCACTCCCTCAACTGACCACTCCCTCAACTGACTACTCACTCAACTGACCACTTCCTCAACTGACCACTCCCTCAACTGACCACTCCCTCAACTGACTACTCACTCAACTGACTACTCACTCAACTGACTACTCACTCAACTGACCACTCACTCAACTGACCACTCCCTCAACTGACCACTCCCTCAACTGACCACTCCCTCAACTGACCACTCACTCAACTGACTACTCACTCAACTGACCACTCACTCAACTGACCACTCCCTCAACTGACCACTCCCTCACCTGACCACTCAACTGACCACTCACTCAACTGACCACTCAACTGACCACTCCCTCAACTGACCACTCAACTGACCACTCCCTCAACTGACCACTCACTCAACTGACAACTCAACTGACTACTCACTCAACTGACTACTCACTCAACTTACTACTCACTCAACTGACTACTCACTCAACTGACCACTCCCTCACCTGACCACTCAACTGACCACTCCCTCACCTGACCACTCAACTGACCACTCCCTCAACTGACCACTCCCTCAACTGACCACTCAACTGACCACTCCCTCACCTGACCACTCAACTGACCACTCCCTCAACTGACCACTCCCTCAACTGACCACTCAACTGACCACTCCCTCACCTGGCCACTCAACTGACCACTCCCTCACCTGACCACTCAACTGACCACTCCCTCAACTGACCACTCCCTCAACTGACCACTCCCTCAACTGACCACTCCCTCAACTGACCACTCCCTCAACTGACTACTCACTCAACTGACCACTCCCTCAACTGACCACTCCCTCAACTGACCACTCCCTCAACTGACCACTCCCTCAACTGACCACTCCCTCAACTGACTACTCACTCAACTGACCACTCCCTCAACTGACCACTCCCTCAACTGACCACTCCCTCAACTGACCACTCCCTCAACTGACCACTCCCTCAACTGACCACTCAACTGACCACTCCCTCAACTGACCACTCCCTCAACTGACCACTCCCTCAACTGACCACTCCCTCAACTGACCACTCCCTCAACTGACCACTCCCTCAACTGACCACTCACTCAACTGACCACTCACTCAACTGACTACTCACTCACCTTACTACTCACTCAACTGACCACTCACTCAACTGACCACTCACTCAACTGACTACTCACTCAACTGACTACTCAATCAACTGACTACTCCCTCAACTGACTACTCACTCAACTGACTACTCACTCAACTGACCTCTCACTCAACTGACCACTCACTCAACTGACAACTCAACTGACTACTCACTCAACTGACTACTCACTCAACTTACTACTCACTCAACTGACCACTCACTCAACTAACCACTCACTCAACTGACTACTCACTCAACTGACTACTCACTCAACTGACCACTCACTCAACTGACTACTCACTCAACTGACCACTCAACTGAATACTCACTCAACTGACTACTCACTCAACTGACCACTCAACTGACTTCTCACTCAACTGACCACTCAACTGACTACTCACTCAACTGACCACTCCCTCAACTGACCACTCCCTCAACTGACTACTCACTCAACTGACCACTCCCTCAACTGACCACTCCCTCAACTGACCACTCCCTCAACTGACCACTCCCTCAACTGACCACTCCCTCAACTGACCACTCCCTCAACTGACCACTCCCTCAACTGACCACTCCCTCAACTGACCACTCCCTCAACTGACCACTCCCTCAACTGACCACTCAACTGACCACTCAACTGACCACTCCCTCAACTGACCACTCCCTCAACTGACCACTCACTCAACTGACCACTCACTCAACTGACCACTCAACTGACCACTCAACTGACCACTCCCTCAACTGACCACTCCCTCAACTGACTACTCACTCAACTGACCACTCCCTCAACTGACCACTCCCTCAACTGACCACTCCCTCAACTGACCACTCCCTCAACTGACCACTCCCTCAACTGACTACTCACTCAACTGACCACTCCCTCAACTGACCACTCCCTCAACTGACCACTCCCTCAACTGACCACTCCCTCAACTGACCACTCCCTCAACTGACCACTCAACTGACCACTCCCTCAACTGACCACTCCCTCAACTGACCACTCCCTCAACTGACCACTCCCTCAACTGGCCACTCCCTCAACTGACCACTCCCTCAACTGACCACTCAACTGACCACTCAACTGACCACTCCCTCAACTGACCACTCCCTCAACTGACCACTCCCTCAACTGACCACTCAACTGACCACTCAACTGACTACTCACTCAACTGACCACTCAACTGACCACTCAACTGACCACTCCCTCAACTGACCACTCCCTCAACTGACCACTCACTCAACTGACCACTCAACTGACCACTCAACTGACCACTCCCTCACCTGACCACTCAACTGACCACTCCCTCAACTGACCACTCACTCAACTGACCACTCAACTGACCACTCAACTGACCACTCCCTCAACTGACCACTCCCTCAACTGACCACTCACTCAACTGACCACTCAACTGACCACTCAACTGACCACTCACTCAACTGACCACTCAACTGACCACTCCCTCAACTGACCACTCCCTCAACTGACCACTCCCTCAACTGACCACTCCCTCAACTGACCACTCCCTCAACTGACCACTCCCTCACCTATCTCACAGAAGAGCCCCGCCTTCTCTGGTGGACACCTGAGACAGTAACCGTTGACGTCACACATTTCGTCAACACAGTCGCTCAGACACTTGGCCTCACAGCCCAGGCCGTAGTACAGAGGGTAACAGTCTGAAACATGACGTCATATCCGCTTAAACGCTTCCTACAACCTTATTATAAGCTTATAATTAAGTTATCAATGTCTGCTTGTTTGTTTGTTTGTTGTTTGCTGATTGGGTGCAGTTCAGTGTCTCACGTAGACATCTTTGTTGGCCACCTTGTCCAGTGGTTGATGATATTATCAAGTGGTTGGCCATCTTGTTTATTGGCTGGCCATCTTATTTAATGGTTGGCCATCTTGTTTATTGGCTGGCCATCTTATTTAATGGTTGGCCATCTTGCCATTCATATAAACACAAATTGAGCACAGAATGTTGTATCAAAGAACAACAAATTGAGCACAGAATGTTGTATCAAAGAACAACAAATTGAGCACAGAATCTTGTATCAAAGAACAACAAATTGAGCACAGAATGTTGTATCAAAGAACAACAAATTGAGCACAGAATGTTGTATCAAAGAACAACAAATTGAGCACAGAATGTTGTATCAAAGAACAACAAATTGAGCACAGAATGTTGTATCAAAGAACAAAAAATTGAGCACAGAATGTTGTATCAAAGAACAACAAATTGAGCACAGAATGTTGTATCAAAGAACAACAAATTGAGCACAGAATGTTGTATCAAAGAACAACAAATTGAGCACAGAATGTTGTATCAAAGAACAACAAATTGAGCACAGAATGTTGTATCAAAGAACAACAAATTGAGCACAGAATCTTGTATCAAAGAACAACAAATTGAGCACAGAATGTTGTATCAAAGAACAACAAATTGAGTACAGAATGTTGTATCAAAGAACAACAAATTGAGCACAGAATGTTGTATCAAAGAACAACAAATTGAGCACAGAATGTTGTATCAAAGAACAACAAATTGAGCACAGAATGTTCTATCAAAGAACAACAAATTGAGCACAGAATGTTGTATCAAAGAACAACAAATTGAGCACAGAATGTTGTATCAAAGAACAACAAATTGAGCACAGAATGTTGTATCAAAGAACAACAAATTGAGCACAGAATGTTGTATCAAAGAACAACAAATTGAGCACAGAATGTTGTATCAAAGAACAACAAATTGAGCACAGAATGTTGTATCAAAGAACAACAAATTGAGCACAGAATGTTGTATCAAAGAACAACAAATTGAGCACAGAATGTTGTATCAAAGAACAACAAATTGAGCACAGAATGTTGTATCAAAGAACAACAAATTGAGCACAGAATGTTGTATCAAAGAACAACAAATTGAGCACAGAATGTTGTATCAAAGAACAACAAAGTTACAAAAACCCGAGGCAAGCAACGACTAAATTCTGTAGAGAATCTCATGTGCGACAAAACGTTTATGAAATACGGCAGATTTTCTTATTTTCAGCACCTTATTGCTGTAAAGGTTTTAGTCATTTCTAATTTATGAAGTCGACACGACCAAAAATATTTGTTTTAAAACACCATTAGCGGATCGCGATGTCTAAAAGACGATTATCTGTCCCGTGAAAGCAGCCGTCCGTGACTATATTTAACAGACGAGAGCAAGTTCTTTTTTTTACCTCCCCTTAGTTTCAAATCTTTAAAAAAAACTTTATTATCTCCCCCTAATAACCTTCACTAGATCGACCGCCTGTACGATTGTAAACATTCTCGTGAACGACAGCTCACCAGACTGTTATGGTGATCGCGTCTAGCTTGTTATCTCCCCTTCCGTTATTGAATATAGTAATCCATCTTGTATTTAACTTTGTTATCTCCCTTAGTTTCGAAACCGTTTGATTAATTTTAATGACTAATTAAACGTCTAATTTAATTAAAAATAAGTAGACCTGTATCGTCATTGAAGTGGAACGATCTGGAAAGTTTGAACAAAATCGCTGCATTGGAAGTGTGGCAAATTTGAGTGACAAAATATGCCACAAACCCACAAACAGACGTTCCAAAAGAAATAGAAGCATGTAAAAAAAAACAACCAATGATCTGACAACCAACTGACACACCCCCGTAAGCCTCGATCTCACAAATAGTTCCAGCACTTTCCACGTCGTTGTCGAGGGTCACGACAGCCGCAGAAACCGCCTCATCTAGCTCCATCTGCAGGGTCAAGGTCATCTCAAGGTCGGACTTAAAGGTCAAAGATGTCTTGAACAGAATGGAGCCGTTTTGTGAGACAACGTGGAACTGAATCGCAAGCGGAAATTCTTGGGCTGCTAGAGGGATACAGAGTCATTAGACAATTAGACGTTTGAAAATTAGTCCTTTGATAATTAGTCATTTCATAATTAGTCGCTAGACAATTACTCGTTAGACAATAATTATGAATCATTAGTAAGTGTATGTGTGGCTGGTGTGTGTAGCTGGTGTGTGTAGCTGGTGTGTGTGTGTGGCTGGTGTGTGTGTGTGTGGCTGGTGTGTGTGTGGCTGGTGTGTGTGTGGCTGGTGTGTGTGTGTGTTTGTGGCTGGTGTGTGTGTGGCTGGTGTGTGTGTGTGTGGCTGGTATGTGTGTGTGGCTGGTGTGTGTGTGGATGGTGTGTGTGTGTGTGGCTGGTGTGTGTGTGGCAGGTGTGTGTGTGGCTGGTGTGTGTGGCTAGTGTGTGTGTGGCTGGTGTGTGTGTGGCAGGTGTGTGTGGCTGGTGTGTGTGTGGCTGGTGTGTGTGTGGCTGCCTAATGAAAAGAAAGCGATCTAGTTACTTGTTGACCTGTGAAAGTAGAACTCATGCACAAGCACCGGATGTTGGAATACGATCTGCAGCTGCTGACCAGTGGCCATGTCCGAGGCGTTGATGCAGCTTGACCCCGGACCCCACTCCCCGTCAAACAAAACCCCCGGGGGAGCGGCATTGCTCTCAGCCTCCGTCCACAACGTGGTCTGATTCTGCGCAACGTTGCGACCTGGGGGGGGGGGGGGGGGGAGAGAAAGAGAGAGAAAAAATAATTAATTAAAGAATTAATTTAAGTACACATTTTCCGCGCAATTGTACGCACATTATTTGTGTTCATTGGGTGTGCAATTGTTTTAATTATGCTAAGCTAGTGTACTGCAAAAAATGAAGTATTGAAATTTTTTTTTAAATAAATTGTTTTTTTTTTTGTTTTTTACTTTCTCGTATATACGAAGTATAGAGAAAGTATTGTAATCGTGCATAAAAATCATTTGAAATTTTAACAATTTTCACCGTATTACACCTCAGTCCTTCATCACATCCGAAGTATAGAGGACTTATTTTAATCGGGCAAAAATTATCAATCCAGATTTATCAAAATTAAGAGGTTTTATGCGTAATCCAGTCTGAAAAACTGGACTTTGCAATTCTGTCCGTATGTCTGTGTGTGTGTCTGTGTGTGTGTCTGTCCGTGTGTAAACACGATAACTTGAGTACCGTTACAGCTAGGTTGATGAAATTTCATATATAAGTATTTTATCAAAATCGTAGATCCGTATCAACTTTTGAGCGATTTCCGATAACCGGAAGTGGTACTTTTCCTACTTTGAATTTTTTAAAAGCCTATAACTTGAGTACTATTTCAGATAGATAAATGAAATTTCACATGTAAGTAAAAGATCTAATTCTCTACCTTCTGTTAAATTTTGAGTAATTTCCGTTGACTGGAAGTAGTAATTTACGCTACTTCCGATTTCTCAAAAAACTAATGTAAATTTTTAAAGTACTAATAATATTGCGCACTATTATACGCGTTTTTATTCGGCGTTTGCTTGGTGCGCAATGTTTTTTTTATGAGATTATATTCTATTTTTAAAAGTTTAAGTATTTAAAATGGATTAAAAATCATAACTATATCCCCAGTTACCATCCCCTGTTGTTTTATATAAGAATATTCGAGAAAGTTCAGGGGAGATCACTACCGGTTTATTTTTAATGTAGGTAGAAAATAAAAGTTTTGGAGAGTTCACTCGCACTATATTGTTTTTATTTTTTACCTTTCGAGACATTGTAAAACTTTACCTTGTGAGACATACACGGAACAAATGCTGCTGGAGTCGACTGTGACTGTGATGGTGCTGACGTAGTTCACCTGACACAGGTGGTTGTAGATGTAATTGGTCAGGAACAACTGTCGGGGGTGGGGGCAGGTGACCGTCTGACCGTCCGACTGATAGAACACGATCTCCACGTTTTTCATGGCTTCTGGAAGGGGAAGGGGGTGGGGTGGACAGTCTTTAGATTTGTAGGCTAAAATATATTTTCTTGACGTGTCTAAAGTTGACGTGTGTGATTTGTCTAAAGTTGACGTGTGTGACGTGTCTAAAGTTGACATGTCTAAAGTTGACGTATCTAAAATTGACGTGTCTAAAGTTAACGTGTGTGCCGTGTCTAAAGTTGACGTGTGTGACGTGTCTAAAGTTGACGTGTGTGACGTATCTAAAGTTGACGTGTCTAAAGTTGACGTGTCTAAAGTTGACGTGTGTGACGTGTCTAAAGTTGACGTGTCTAAAGTTGACGTGTCTAAAGTTGACGTGTGTGACGTATCTAAAGTTGACGTGTCTAAAGTTGACGTGTCTAAAGTTGACGTGTGTGACGTATATAAAGTTGACGTGTCTAAAGTTGACGTGTCTAAAGTTGACGTGTGTGACGTGTCTAAAGTTGACGTGTGTGACGTGTCTAAAGTTGACGTGTCTAAAGTTGACGTGTCTAAAGTTGACTTGTGTGATGTGTCTAAAGTTGACGTGTCTAAAGTTGACGTGTGTGACGTGTCTAAAGTTGACGTGTGTGACGTGTCTAAAGTTGACGTGTGTGACGTGTCTAAAGTTGACGTGTGTGCGTGTCTAAAGTTGACGTGTCTAAAGTTGACGTGTGTGACGTGTCTAAAGTTGACGTGTGTGACGTATCTAAAGTTGACGTGTCTAAAGTTGACGTGTCTAAAGTTGACGTGTGTGACGTGTCTAAAATTGACGTGTGTGCCGTGTCTAAAGTTGACGTGTGTGATGTGCCTAAAGTTGACTTGTGTGACGTGTCTAAAGTTGACTTGTGTGACGTGTTTAAAGTTGACGTGTGTGCCGTGTCTAAAGTTGACTTGTGTGATGTGTCTAAAGTTGACGTGTCTAAAGTTGACCTGTGTGACGTGTCTAAAGTTGACGTGTGTGACGTGTCTAAAGTTGACATGTCTAAAGTTGACTTGTGTGACGTGTCTAAAGTTGACGTGTGTGACGTGTTTAAAGTTGACGTGTGTGATGTGTCTAAAGTTGACGTGTCTAAAGTTGACTTGTGTGACGTGTCTAAAGTTGACGTGTGTGACGTGTTTAAAGTTGACGTGTGTGACGTGTCTAAAGTTGACGTGTGTGACGTGTCTAAAGTTGACGTGTCTAAAGTTAACGTGTGTGCCGTGTCTAAAGTTGACTTGTGTGATGTGTCTAAAGTTGACGTGTGTGACGTGTCTAAAATTGACGTGTGTGACGTGTCTAAAGTTGACGTGTGTGACGTGTCTAAAGTTGACGTGTCTAAAGTTGACGTGTGTGACGTGTCTAAAGTTGACGTGTGTGACGTGTCTAAAGTTGACGTGCGTGACGTGTCTAATTATGACGTGCGTAAAGCGTCAAGACAAACCGTTGTTGGGGGCGATGACCATGACCCAGTTCACTGAATGCGAGATCGGGAATTCTATTTTTATCTTCGTCTTCGCAAGACAAGTGACGTCATCGCTGTCTGTCAGGAGTCTCTCCAGTGACTCGTCATCTGCTGCCAAGTTTCCTAGCCAGGGGAGAAAGAACTTCATTAATTAATTTAATTAATCACTTCAATTAATTAGTCCGAAGGTATATTTTTACTGACCAGACAAAATTGTAACCTAACAAGATGTAATAAGCCCCCCCCCCCACTAGGCTATAAGTCGCCCACTAGAAACCCCCAATTAGCCCAGCAATAGCTCTTTAGAAGCCCCCAATTAGCTCACATCTAGCCCTCTAGAATCCCCCACACATAGCCCGCTAGAATCCCCCACACATAGCCCTCTAGAATCCCCCACACATAGCCCGCTAGAATCCCCCACACATAGCCCTCTAGAATCCCCCACACATAGCCCGCTAGAATCCCCCACACATAGCCCTCTAGAATCCCCCACACGTAGCCCTCTAAAATCCCCCACACGTAGCCCTCTAGAATCCCCCACACGTAGCCCTCTAGAAGTCCTCAAAACTCACTGTACTGACACGAAGGACCAAACCAGCCGACCCTGCACCGGTCACATGACTCCCGGCACTTGTCCTTACAGTGACACAAGAGGCCCAGATCGCTGCTTAACCACTGCTGGTCTGTAGGAACAGGTGAAGCCATGACTGACAGGTCACATGACTGACAGGTCACGTGAGAGACAGGTCACATGAGAGAAAGGTCACATGAGGGACAGGTCACATAAGAGACAGGTCACATGACTCACCTTCGTACATGCAGAGCGCCTGGAAGATGCGGCTACATCTCTCATCCTCCAGCTTCTCCATCTTGGCAACGGCGCAATTTCTCCCCAGCCCACCCCCGGGCACAGTGGACCCCCACATGGCCGGGTGTAAGGCCTGCCCCGTGTACCCCCAATGGAACGTTCCCTCTCCCGTCAGGTCCGTGGCGTCCACCCACGCGCCTCTGTCGCTTTCTGTGGACAACACATAACAATATTAATGGCTTGATTTGTTATAACACATAGACACACGCATACACGACTAGCATTATCATTAGCTGGGACTGAGTTTTTTATTTTTCATACTCAATCATTACTCAATCACTACTCATTAACTTCTCATTCACTACTCTTAGTATTAAATATGTTAAAATGTCTTAAAATGTACCATTTCACAAGCCGACTCTCGCCTTACGCTGCTATTTAGTTGTTTTATTTTCTGCTTTTCACTCGTTCATAATTTGTGAATTCGATTTTAAAATCAGATTTAGTCATACTTAGGTTCGACGTCTTTATTTAAAAAAAAAAACGTTATAACTACAAACTTTTATATGCACTGAAATAAGAAAGTAACCTAACACGTCTCATGAATCAGTAATTAAGGGTGATTTACCTGTGAACAATTTTTTTTTAACCAGAGTGAGGATGATTTACCTATGAACAATTTGTTTTGAACCAGAGTGAGGCTTTCAGGCGAGGAGAAAGTGGCCAGTCTCATGGCATTGTTGACACAGAGGGCCTAGGGTCAGAAGGGTTAAAGGTCAGTGGGGTTAGTGGGGTAGTGTGGACAGTGGGGTAGTGTGGTCAGTGGGGTAGTGTGGTCAGTGGGGTAGTGGGGTCAGTGGGGTAGTGGGGTAGTGTGGTCAGTGGGGTAGTGTTGTCAGTGGGGTAGTGGGGTAGTGTGGTCAGTGGGGTAGTGTTGTCAGTGGGGTAGTGTGGGGTAGTGTGGTCAGTGGGGTAGTGGGGTCAGTGGGGTCAGTTGGTCAATTGGGGTAGTGTGGTCAGTGAGGTAGTGTGGTAAGTGGGGTAGTGTGGTCAGTGGGGTAGTGTGGTCTGTGGGGTAGTGTGGTCAGTGGGGTAGTGTGGTCAGTGGGGTAGTGTGGTCAGTGGGGTAGTGTGGTCAGTGGGGTAGTGGGGTCAGTGGGGTCAGTTGGTCAATTGGGGTAGTGTGGTCAGTGAGGTAGTGTGGTAAGTGGGGTAGTGTTGACAGTGGGGTAGTGTGGTCAGTGGGGTAGTGTGGTCAGTGGGGTAGTGGGGTCAGTGGGGTCAGTTGGTCAATTGGGGTAGTGTGGTCAGTGAGGTAGTGTGGTAAGTGGGGTAGTGTTGACAGTGGGGTAGTGTGGTCAGTGGGGTAGTGTGGTC